TTAAAAAAAAAAAAAAAAAAAAAAAAAAAAAAAAAAAAAGGTGGAGGGAGTGTGGCTATTAGTTTCTAGGGCTCCAAGAGGACCCCAACCCGCTCTAGGGGTCTTTTGTCTTTTCTTTGCTGTCAAGTAGTGCACTTCGTTCTAGTTGTTAGTGACCTCTCTGTAAGAAGATAATGGTTCCCTTCGGCTTTCCAGGCCGTGGTGAGTTGTTTAGCCTTTTTCTTTCTTCGTCCGGTTTGTTGCAGGTTTCAGGCCTTGTGGTAAGGTTATTTTAGGTGGTTTTTATTGGTTTGTGAGTTTTTTTCAGGCCTGATGCACTATTTCTTGGGAATTTCAGGGTCGGCCCGTATCAGCACAGCGGTCTGGTTTTGGCCATTTCTGTCCCGACACCTATTCCCTACGCTGGGTAAAGGTCCCAGAAAACTCTATTTTTTCATTCCGGGGTGTTTGTTGAGGTTTTCCAGGGTTCTCTTTTTGGTGTGCGTAATCAAATGAGCTGAGTCTTCTTGTAAAAAAAAAAACAAAGAAAGATAGCGGGGGTTTAGAAAAAACTTCAAAAGAATTTAAAAGAAGAACATAGTATATATAAAAAAAAAAAAAAAAAAAAAAAAAAAAACGACATACTTCCAGGTTGATGAGTTCCATTCCCTCTGCGGAATTGTGAAGCTCTTCCTTGTGGACACAGCTCCTCTGCAGCATACTTGCGGCGGCCCTCGCGGCCCAGAAAAATCACCTTTTGAGATTCTTTGTTTTTTTTTTTTTTAATAATAGAACAGCCCGAGCTCGTGCTAGGGGTGCTGATAGGAGCAGACACCACTATCACTGTCTGGGGAGGCTCCATCTATTGGTGAGGGAGCAGCACCTGCTGGAAAGCGGGTCCAGCGTCCCCCTGAACATCTCATTCACATTTTTTTTGGACAGACAAAAAAAAAAACGGTCCTCCAGGCCAGCTTGGGGGGGTGATGTGAGCATCCCCCCTAGCTCTCTGGGGACAGCTCCTTTCTATTGGTGGGGAGCTACACCTGCTGGAAACGGGGTTCAGCGTCCCACTGTTACATAGTCAGCGGTCGTCAGAACGTGAAGGGAAAGAAGAATCACGTGACACTAAGGGCCTCGCCGCACCACAGTCGAAAATGCGATTTTCGACAGTTCCTCTTCGCCACACAGGCTGTCGAAGTCGGGGACGGGAAGAAAATTTGCAAGTTGTCAGAGAATGCTTCTCGACACCTCACCTCCTGTCGGGATGGACTGATGCTTGTTGTACCCTCAGGCGCGTTCGTCTTTTTCCATCTTGCTTTCGCAAGTGCGTGCACTCTACAGTGCTGTGTGGCGAAGGGGGGGCAAACTGTCGAATGGAGGCTGTCAAATTTGTTCTGACAGCCGTCAAATTTTTTGGCCTTTCGACTATGGTGTGGCGAGGCCCTTATCTCCACTACTCTCCACATGCACACAAGACAAAAATCATGGCCGTCTATCTTTCCATGTTCTAGCAGAAGATTCACTCTCTTTTTGCACATTTTTTGAGAGTTGTGGACCCAGGCCCTCTAAGTTGCAACATTTCAACCAACATGGAAATGTTATCAGTCTGAAAAGGGAACCCACCAAAAAAAAAAAAAAAAAAAAAAAAAAAGGGAACCCACCGTGATCGGACATTCAGAATGGCGTCAACAATTAATGCCTACCTAAGTATAGTCTTGGAAGGCGAGTTCTGTAGTCTGAGCTTCTGGACTCGAGGATTTTGAAGGTCGGGTGTATGAGGTTGAAGAGGGTAGAGGGTGTAGGGTTTAAGGGGTTCAAGGGGTAAAATAGGTCTGGCATTCTAATGGGGGGCTGCTGACCAGGGCTGGGCTAACAAATACGGAGTGCTCTAAGAAGGGAGGGGAATCACTAGCAGCTCCATGGGACAACGGAGACCCGAGTCTGAGAAGAGAAAAAGCCCACAGCCGCAGGAAACAACAAACAGCGATCTTCATGTTATAAGATGTATCAATGGGAAGCTGGACCCGGTTTCCAGCAGGTGCCGCTCCCCACCAATAGATGGAGCAGCCCGACAGATAAACCCTCAATCCTGACGGTTCTCTTACCACCACCGGGATAGAGGGTTTACATAAGGGCTATTCGTGCCAAAAAAAAAAAAAACATTTAATGTCGAAGTCAACAGTTGGCTTCTAGTTTGTCCTTTTGCGTTCCTGGGTCCAGCTGGTCACGACTTTCCTTTGCTTTTTTTTTTTTGGAAACCTCGAGTCGCCGATATCACTAAGGCAGGTGGTAAGAGCAGCCTCCCTAAGTGGCTCCCCCGGTTGAAGGCTCCATCTATTGGTGGGGAGTTGCACCTGGTCCGGAAACCGGGTCCAGCGTCCCTCTATATTACAAGACATATCAATGACTGACAAATGTTTGGACAACTGACATGTGTTGGCAGCGTTTCCTATGCCTGCTGCATGCGATTGAATGTTTCTTAGGTTTTTTTTTTTTTTTTTTCCGTCTTGGCATTATAACGTTACAAATTTTACAATGGTTTAACGTTACAATGCTTTTACTTGCAGAAGCCAGCTGCCACATATCAGCTGACAAGTGGTTCGACGTTTTTTTTTTTTTTTTTTTTTTTTTTTTTGACAAGTGGCGTTAAACTTTGCCGATTCTTCTCAGCCTGGCGGTATTGTGTGGTTGGGGCAGGGTATAGGCTGCCGTGCAATTACTTTGTGGGGTCTTTGTATTGTGGAATGAGATCCCTGCCCTTGAACAGAACAAAAGGAATGCTTGCTTTTCGCATTGTGGAATACCGGATGTCCCCTGGCTGGTATCGCCCACCTGCAGGTCGGGAGCAGCCCCCCCATGTTCTCTCGTGAACAGGGTTCTGGCTGCTACGGGGTTCCCTGTATGACTATAGTCAGGAGTAGTGGTAGGTGGGTAGTGTGAGGTGAAATTGAGAGAAGAATGTAGCTTACTTTATTTATTAAAAAATAAAAATAAAATAGTCGACTGCATGACAGACACTCATACCTCTTCCTCCACGGGCAGCCAACTGCAAAGGGTGAAAGGGTGCTGATTTTCGGAGTCGGCACACGCTGCATAGCCAACAATGATTTCATTGAACGGCCCAGTACCTTTCCCAGCCAAAAAAAAAAGAGCCGGCTGGTTAACACGGAGGCCGGCGCTGGCCTAGCGCAGCGGCCAGATTCGTCCCGAATCATTGGCGCGCAGGGCCCACGGCCAACAAATGGGAAATGTACTGGCGGATTAAAATGGACATATTTAATTTTAGGGGCAACGGCTCCTGGGTCACACCTAGCGTTTGGAATAGGCAACTTTTATATTAGCAGGTCTCGAAACAGCTGAGGGCAAATTAAAAAAGGCGCTGCTAAATCTGCATTCCCGCCAATTCAAGAAAATGACCACAGTTTCAACCCCCCCCCCTCCCCTCCCCCTGCTAAACTTGCACATTCTGAAACTCGGAGGGCTGACATGGACGCCACTTTTGTCTTTCCTTGCCTATTTCAAACTAAAAAGGTGACTCAGGAGCAGTTTCCCCTTTATTTGGTTCTGAATGAAATTGGAATCTCGTTTTTTGGGCCCAAAATTCATGAAATTGAGGGTTTCGGAAAATGCCCTACCCCCTCGATGTATTCGGACCAAGTTGAAATTC